GTGGGGTTACCCACGTTTCCAGTCTCAGGGCCCTGTGTGTCTTGCAGTGCTGAAGGATGTGTTCAACAGTTTGGTCCCCCTCTCCACACTGGCATTTTGGTGATTGTACTAGTTGAAAACCATTTGTACATATGTTGTCTCAGTCTTGTGTGTTGTGTCCTTAGTCTGAAGATAATTAAAGTTTAGTATGATTCATGACACTACTTACTGAGCTAGCAGAGCGTCCCTGGTACAGGGATGAGGGTTCAAAACTCCTCAGTTCTCTCGTTCAAGCCTAATGGAGTTTAGACTAAGGACCTGATAAGTGATAAAGTGTACACAACCCGGCAAAGCTCTATCTTTATTCCTTTATATTTAGACAAAAGACTTCTTGAATTCCCCTCATACAATAACAAAAAGTTTGGTTTCTTTTCTTAACGGTGAGCAGATTCTGTGCTGGCATCAGCACGTAACAGTCAGTCCTAAAAAAATAACACATTTCTAAAAGCTGAATTCATTTAAAGTATTCATTTCCTGCTTAACTAACGAAAAAATATATTCCAGCTTTAAAAAAACAACAAAACAATTCAAAACCACATAAAAGTTTGCTAAACTAAACTGTAATTCTTGTTACATTTGAAAGGCAAATATTTTTTTCTACTAAAAATTTAAAGGCCAACACTCTTCTTTTTCTTAAAAAATTTATTAACTACATTGCAAAACTTCAAATGTGACCATTTGAATTTGAAACAAAGTCAAACAAATGTCATGGGACGTCAAAAAAATGGAGTAAGAAATACAAAATAACATGAACCAAAGCAATAATAATTTATTACTCTTGTTGTAAAGGAGCGTTACATGCATAGACGTGATGCATACAAAATGTCTGACATAAATGAGTGTGATACTGTACAGGGCAAGATCTTAGTCTCATGGTTTTTCTAAATGAAAGACAGAAAAAAAAGTTTCCCTACCAAATGTACACATTCCATATCCTATCCCCTCTTAAATACACCGACAAAAAGACAGAACCCTTTATTTCCGTGATAAAATCCCAAATTCTTAAGCCATAGATAAATAACTCCAAACCATTAGGAACCACTCAACCCTTGAGGCAAGGTTTAAAAAATATACACAAAAGAATAGCAGAATACTGAATTTGTCCATTTAGAAAGGCAACTGAAAAGAAGTTCCAGAAATTAATGATTCCAATCAAATCACCAAAGCCTGGGAGAAATCTTGGCAGCTCTTGGAAGAAAACCAACCATGCAATTTGTCTGCAGCTGAAAGACAGAGACACCCCATATGCAACACAGAACTCATGAAGAGGGTCGTAAATTTTTGTCTTTCATCTGAAACCACATTTCATTACAAAAATGAATCAGAACAAAACTTAAGTTTCACAGTCTTGGAGTTTTTTAAAACTCATTTTTCTCATTCTAGTCTTTTTACTGATCAAAAGAGAAACAATAATACAAAATTCACAAGCTCATTACAAAACCTTGCACTGACAGGACTTATGGTGAAAGGCATTGATTCAAATCTGTTTGTTCCAACTTATTGAAAAATAGGGGGCCTCTGGTACTTATTGAAAAATAGGGCCTCTGGTATGGGTTTTTTGAAGCATCACCCTGGTGTATTGGAAGCGAATTACATTATTATAATTATCCTTCATTTTAAAAAACAGCAGATCTATACAATGGAGTATGTTCTAAGTAGAAACAACTCTCCTATCATTTCTAACAATAAGGATTACTGAATATTATAAAAATAAAAAAATTACTATGAAAGTTGATAATACATCAATAGAAACAGAGAGACATGACGTCCCTTCTTATTAAGAGAAAGAGCAATGATCAATTTATTTTTTTCTCCGACTCAAAAAATACTCAATTTTTTTTTTACAGAAATGTAGAAACAACCGTCTCATTTATTACCTTGTTACCTAGTTCATCATTTCTGTAATAACTGACAAATGATGGAGCCGACTTATTCTAGAAAAAAATGAAACTGTGAGACAAACTACCGTTTTGAAAATTGCTGTTGGACTAAAGTATTTTTCAAACTAACTGTCACCTCGAGACATTGTGAGACCTGCTACTGATTGATGACTTGATACAGAGGCAGGCATGTTGAATGTGAGACTCTAGGTGTAAGTATACATTAGTAAAATGACAGTGGCTTTAAGTCACAGATTGAGGGGAAGGATCAGGTTAGAGTAATTGTGACATCAGAGGTCAAAGGTAGGTATACATCAACACACGTCTGGTGATCAAACTCAAATAATCACTTTTTTTAAAAGCACAAACCATTCAAATGCATCAAAGACTATCCTCATGCCTTATTAGGGCATACAATAAAAACCATAATTTGGAATTCACTGTTAAGACTTTAAGTCAAATATGATATTCATAGAAAACTTTCTTCTTTGGTGATAGAGATGGGCCATTTCTGGCTCTTTTTTCTCTCAACTATGTGTTATATGTTATTGCTATCTATGTAGTAGGCCTACTGTTATTTCAAGTTGAGTGCAATATCAACATATTGCTTTTAAGTTCAGCATGCCTTTTTTTACAGCCCAACAAATAGAGCTTTGACACTTTTCCTTTCCAGAAAAGTCCTTATGTCTTTCTCCATGGTGCCAGGTGGAAACACTATTGCCACAAATCAAAAACTTTTCATGGAGGGAAAAAGAACATGTTGGGGTTTCTGCATTCTTTTTTACCAGGAGGAAATTTTCCCTTTCAAGAAACCCCGACTATAGAATACAGTGAGAGTAGGTCCAGTGTGTCCGAGCCCAGTGAGAGTAGGTCCAGTGTGTCCGAGCCCAATGTACCGGACAGCTTGTCCTTTCTATAATATTATGCAACCCCAATGATGAGACATTAATCTCAGTGTAAATAATATATACATGATTTCTCTACTAGGACAAGATAGAGAGAACAAGGTTCATTCCCCTTTCATAACTTTACAAAAGTTGGAAACATATACAGCATAGCATAGCGAGACAAGTTTTTTAATATATATATATAAATATAACACATGAAAACTCACTCACACAACATTCCCCACCTGCTCAGTCATCATTGCTGGTGCAATAATTGGGGCGTAGTTCACTCGCACACTTTACAGAGAGCAGCACCGTTAGGAAAAATAGTTCACATGCTTGTTGTACTACTACACTACTACTGACGACATTTAATTACAGACTGAAGCAGGGAAGCCGGATAGAATAATATATAACACAGAGCAGATCTATTGGCATTTTGCATGTAACATCAACATCAACAACCAGCCTGACAGACAGGTCAAATACTTTTTCTCAACTTCCAGTCAGCACCTTGAACTGTGGGAGACAATTTTTAAAAATCAAGGTTTTCTGAGTCAATAACAATCTAAATATTTACACTGACCTCCCTTTCCATTCTGTTGTCCCCACCCAACTTGGAAAAAGTAACCTTCAAAGTTATAAATATAATGATCTAGAACAGTATTATTACTACACATCATATAATGCCTCAGCTGACCAGTATCCTACCTGCAGACAAATACTAGACTAGAAGTCAAACAAACAACAAACAAAACAAAACCAAAAAAAAAAAAGGAAAAACAAATAATATATTTCCATCTACTTTAGCCCAAAGTTTGCACCCATTTACATCACTTACGACCAGATAGACTTGATAAGCAGATCTGAAAGTTAACAATAGCATTGCTTTATTACGATGAAATCATTAAAGTCCCGCTAGAGTCGCTTCTAAAAGCCTATCTCTCTAATACAGCATTTGGTGCTGAAAAATACATCATGTATTTAAAAAGACCTACTATCCATTCCAGTGTGTAATAACATAACCCTATTTTGTTTTTGTTTTTCAACAACCCACTTTAATGCAACGGACACTTTTTGCTATAGGATGACTTGTCCTCCTCATTAAGACCATCTTGTTGTGAACACTTTCAACAAGGAGGGGGTGGGGGGGGGGGGGGGGGAGGGGAGAGAAAATTATGGACATCTGTACTCTGAGGAGCTATAGCAGTAAGAAGAACAAATGGGAAAACAAACTCAAAACTCCCTCCATCTCATGGTGTAAATCTTCATAATCTCAAAAACAAAACTAATGCAATAGCTGAGGTAACTGAAGCGGCAAGAAAAAAAGAACACTTGGCAGTGCCACCACCATCACCAGCGATCTACCTGAAGGCCCGTAGTGCTCTTGGCTGCAATCAGAGCTATAGGACCGTAACATTACTAGTACAACAACAAGCACAGTAAGTAATTCTGTCCCCGTGGTTTTATGCACCCCGCATAATTTAGCGAAATTTGATCATTTTTTGCATAATTTCTGATTATTTTCCTTCATAATTCTTTGTTAAAATTAACAGAATCACACAATTTCACATTTTTGGGCTCAGTTTACATAATTTCAAAGTTTTTCTTGCATAAAACGACGGGGACAGGTAATTGTCAAAGCTCCAACAGATCTAAGAGTTAAACCACAGGCAGGAAATACACCTTGCTTCATCTTTACATATTGGCACGCGGAAATTGTGGTAGCTGATAAACTTATGGTAAAGTTGAAAACAAGAGACAATCTTAAAATATTGGTAAAGACATTTAAAAAATTGATACAGTTGGCAACATGGTAATAACAGTTAAGGACAGATTGCCGTACAGATTCAAAATTGTGTAATCAGTTTTGATTAAACGAGCTGTCACAATGCCAAAATTTAACACCACTTTATTAAAGTTTAAAATAGTATTACTTCCATTGCATATGATCCATCCTTGCTTCACTCATGGTTAATTAAACAAGATAATAGACATCCGAGTCGCAAACGCCCAGGTGAGCAAACAGGCAAGCAAAAGGTCCAGATCTGATCTTGTAGGCAAAAGAAACTAAGACACTGGGGTAATCAACAAACTGGCAGGAACCATCCTTGCACAACCCCACTCTCTGGGCTTCTCTTCAAGGGGCCAGAGGCAAAAGATTCCATACACAATGTCACTGCAGATGGAATCTTTATGCCCGTCATGTGAACACTGCCATTCAAAACAAATTAAAAATAAAAGTTAAAAAAGAAAAAAAAAGGCAAGATCAATATGCAAGCGTGGAGTCACTTGCGGAGGCACCCCTGTGTTTCCACACATTTTCTTTAATAAAAACAAGTTTCAGCAAACTTGCACATCATGTCTTCCCTTTATACCCATTTCTCCTTAATCTCATCAAACAAACAAAAGTGGTTACACGTGTTGGATCCAATTCAATTTATGATAGTAAAGTAGTATAAAGTCGTCTTGAGCTGTCTTTTTCAAAAATTTCTCTGGTGATCATAATTAAGTACAATTGTATCAATAGTTAAGGATTAACATGATTTTGAGTGGATGATGTTTTTCTGTATGAGTTTTATTATGGATTTCTATATTATACATGTTGATTCTAAGATTATGGCAGTTGTGAGCTCGCTTCCATTAGCCTTAACCAAAATCCTTTCATACCAACACACACACATCCCTACCTGACAACTTTTAGTCATTCACACACACACACACACCATGTTTTTAATATAAGAAATACAAGCAAGCAAGCACACACGCACACACCCATGTTTACACGCACACATGTGAACACACACACACACACATACGCACACACACACACACAGAAACTAACTAACACACATACATACACAAACACACACGCACATTCATTCCTTCCCCTCTTTCGACCCATGTGAGAAGTAAAAAAACGAAATGCCATGCACTTGTGCAAACAGTACTACAATGGAGTCTGCTTATACCGAGCTGAGACAAAGTATCTTTGGTCCTTAGTTTGTCCCTCTCTATTCTTGATTTCCACAAAATGGGAACGTACTGAGATTGGGTTTCACACAGAAACAATTTGGTAGTAGCTGTGCCACAGTATGCTGTCGTTAATCCAGTAGCCATTGAATGTGTGCCCTTCAGCCCAATGCTATGTTTAAAGAGATGGAGGTCTAGAAAAATACAGGAGAGGGAACTTTCACTTTTGTTAATTTTATAAACTACTCAGGTGAATCTATCACTGCATTTTGTTATAAGAGGAGTTGTCTTCCATCCAAAGGCACCTATTCATTGATACTAAAATATTCAGAAGTTCTATTAGAATGAATGTCTTTTTTTTTTTTTTTTAAATGCTGGAGCATTCATTATCAGACCACCAAGTACCAGAGAACCTAGAGTAGGGGGAGGTGGGTGGCATCGATACCTGTGATGTCAACACCAAGCAGCAGATACCAAAACCAGACATCTCTCAACAGTACAGGTAGAGCAGGTCACAGCAGATTTCAAAACCAGACATCTCTCAACAGTACAGGTAGAGCAGGTCACAGCAGATTTCAAAACCAGACATCTCTCAACAGTACAGGTAGAGCAGGTCACAGCAGATTTCAAAACCAGACATCTCTCAACAGTACAGGTAGAGCAGGTCACGACGTTTAGTGTCTTTATGGTCAGTGTTAAACCAAACCAAATCCATGAAATTTACTCAAATAAAGTACAATTTTATTTTCCCTTCTTTCTCTTTTTTTCTCAAAAGGCTTGCACAGAACTGAAGGAAAAGTGAACCGTATGCTCTCAACAAGTTCACACTAAGTAGTACTCGTATAAGCAGACACTACTGTAAAGTATTCCTACATGTGGTCGCTACATCCATCCTTTGTACATGAGTAATAAAAAAACCTCAAAAGAGAGTGACCAAATTAAATTTTCACATCCTTTACGGTGATGTGGCTCGTGACCGCAGGCTCAAAAAATGAGAAGCAATGTCAGTGAGACGAACTTTAAATGTGTGGTCACTGGGGCGAGTCCTTGAGCAAGACATGGTAACCCTTGCTCAAACCAGGGTGCTGCACTGTAGTATAATGAATCGGACTGACTGATTGTACTTCACTTAGTACTTGTGTAATTTTGAATGCAGGAAATGAATACATATATATATATACACTAGTGCAAACCACATTTCTTTAGGGAAACAAAAAAGTGATCATTAACTAAATTTAAACCAGAAGTTTAAGAGAAAGACCTTTCTATTAAAATCCAACTCTAATAACTTTGACAAAACAGATCCAAGAACCTTAACAAAATAAACCTCTTCAGAAAAAGGATCAAACCTAAGGGGCCCATAATGTGTATTCAAGTCTCTTACTGACATTACAGCTTACCAAAGCTGGATATTTGGGGCAAGGACGTTTCAAAAACTGAAAATCCACAAGAACCCACAAGTTTTTTATATCAACAAGAAACTTTGACAGTGAAATGTCAGAAGGAAACTTTTAATGAGGAAAAATCCTCATCAGGTAAGTCACACGCTTAGTGCTATCTTGTTCTAGCTTCATATTTCCCGTTCCAATGATAATTACTTTGAAAGTATTGAACTCCAACCCTAATGAATCTGAAATTACACTGAACATGGAGGACATTTACCATTATAATTTTGAGAATATTTTACAACAGCCTTGACTGCTGCGACAAAAACTCCCAATAGATGGATGTTGGATTTTGTTCAAGATAAAGACTCAGCTACTGATCTACCCGATACATGAAAGGGGTTTTAAGTAATCCTGGGTCACAGCTCCAGAGCCTCTCAGCCAGGCCTTGTTTCTGTAATAGTTTCTGTGGCTGGGGAAACCAGCATGGGTATTTCCTGACAGACTCGCATCGTAAGAGTCTCAATACAGGATGTAGTTGATCGTCTTCGCTGACAGACTTGTATCGTAAGAGTCTAAATACAGGATGTAGTTGATCGTCTTCGCTGCAGTGATTGTTCCAATGATAGCATTCAAACATAGCTTTACAAAATACCCTTCAGTAAGTACAGATCTCCATAAGGTGAGTTGGGCTGTATGGAGAGTCGACCTTCCGGCCGCACGATGACTGCTCCAATCACTTCTCCACAGGCTTGCCGGGCTTTCCTCTCCTCTTCCAGTGACAAGGTCATCAACATCGGGCCAACGTGGCCTCGAGAACATGTGTAGCATCATGCAGCTGAATTATTGCACGCTCATCAAATACATGTACAATAAAGTCTGAGAACACAGCTTTTGACTAGAAATCCACTCAAGATTCCCACGACCTTCAACTCTTGCCTCTCACAGCTGACTGGGACTGGAGAGAACTCACACTCTGGCTCAGGAGGGCTGGGGATGTTGTCAGCACACAGACACATTTTGATCTGCATGGCGCTTGCTGCGAGATTCCTTGCCCTCTTTGCTGTGGGGGAATGAGAGGAGAGAAAAGACATTAGCTATGATTAGGAGGGGATTGGGCACATTTGTTTATAATTTGCAGATACATTAAGATTTCAGCAACACGTAGAAAATGAAAGCTTGAGTTAATTATATAAACATCAGTAAATACTGAGTAGAGCTTTTGAAAAAGAAAAAGATTGTTATAAAACAACAACCATCCACGTCAAAGGCAACAGTAGCAAACCAATGTACAGCCTCACATCACAAAGTTTATGAGCTACTTAGAGATAGCAAACCAATGTACAGCCTCACATCACAAAGTTTATGAGCTACTTAGAGATAGCAAACCAATGTACAGCCTCACATCACAAAGTTTATGAGCTACTTAGAGATAGCAAACCAATGTACAGCCTCACATCACAAAGTTTATGAGCTACTAAGAGATAGCAAACCAATGTACAGCCTCACATCACAAAGTTTAGGAGCTGACTTAGAGATAGCATCAACTCCACCCATCCCAAAATGTAATCATTACCCAAGGAAGTTTCAACTATTTGTTTTGTTTTTTTATTCATAAACCATGACATAGCTTATACATACAAATATTACTTTTGAAATGGAATTTCTCATGGCATTAACCACTTGTTACAACATCTGTGGTCGAAAAAAAAACCTGAGGCACCATTGTGTCCTTACCTCTTGTGATGTTTTGACTTGCGGAGAGTGGCGGTGGAGATCATGGGGCTGATCTTTTCCCGGAAGTTGTTGTAGTTGCGCTCCAACTCTCGCTGGTACTCTCGCTGCTCCGACGTGATCAAGCTTTTGTTCCTCTGCAGGGCATCACCACACCTGAGGCCACAACGTACAATGTGAGTGTCAGCATACATTTTTAACATCACTAAAGAAACCAGACACTCTTACTTCATCTTACAAGCAAAATGACAAAATAAGAACACTTGGAAACAAATATGTGAGGCAGCATGGTGGAATCAGGCTCTCGTCAAAATAATGAAAATGAAAAAACTTGCATTTTTCCGCAGGTTTATGAATTTTTATTAAATTTTAGTTTTTTGGCTCAACACCTTTCATGCCCATTAAAGAACTCATTTCTGGGTGGATTTTCTGAAAAACGTTGATTAAAGACACAGAAAATGTAAATTTTCAGTTACCACGGACTCTTATGGAAATAACAAACATTTAGCGGCCATTTTCTCACTCATTTTACCTCTGAAAACAAGTGACCCCCATCTCCTTCTTTCGTGAATATCTCAACTTGTATTCAAGATAAATGGATACTTTTTTCATCCAAATAAAGACAAGTAAACAAGCTTTAAGATGATACTAATAACGCTTCATGCCCAAAAATTGACGAGAGCCTGATTCCACCACGCTGCCTCACATATGGTCACACAACACAGCAGTGTCTTTCCAATACTCGTACTACATTGTGATTGTATTACATGCAGAGGGAAAGTATGTTACAGCTAGACCTAAAAGGTAAGCTAACAATAAAAACTTTTCTTTCACTGATTTTAAGAACGAATTATACAACGGCTGCCATTTTTCTCAAATCTGAAATTGACAGTACATGCGAAAATACATAAAATCACCAGCACACTGAAAAACACACACACACCTGCATACACACATTCTCTCTATGTCATTCTCACTCTCTCAACATGAATGAAACGGAAATAATCTTTCAAATTAAACACCATTCCACAAAAAAGATAGACGACTCACTTTTTGATAAAATCTTTGAAGCATAGCCTGAGCTTGTTGTGGGGTTTGGTAGCAGCCTGTTTGCCGTCCACAATATCACTAAGAAAGACCAACGCTACCTCCAGAGGACCCTAGAAACACACATCTTTGTTTTAGTAAAATCAAACAACAACATATTAAAGGACATTTAAGGGGGGCAAAAAAGCAGAACATAGACAGCAGAGAGAGAGTGTAGAAATAATACTCAAAAGTAAGTAAGACATATCAACCGCTTAGTGTAAGACTCTACCATATACCATTTTTGAAAAGTGGCTTAAGGGGATTCTGAAGATTTTGGGTCAGGCTATGCACATTTTATGTTGGCTGATTTTTGAAGATCAACCAAATTTTTGCCTCAAAAATAGCATGGATACAATTGAGAAAGACTTTATTCTCCAGGTAAATTGCCTTTAAAAACACGAGGATGGATTAATATAGTGAATTTTCACAATTATTGTCGGTTTTCGCAAAATGTAATTTTGGTGCAGTTTTTCCCCTACTCCTTCCTTAGTTTTCATCCTTTTGACATGAAACTTTCAGGAAACATAGTTGGCAAGGCTGCCATCAATATAACAGAGAGATATTTGCGAAAAAAATAATACTTTTCCATTGGCAAGCGATTACACAACCTAAATTTAGAGAGAAATAAATTTATACTTTGAGAAATTTGTCATATTTTTATTTTTTCTGTGCTTATTGAAAAAAACTTGCTGTTACTCTGATAGGGTCTGGTTCAGGTATACTCTCACCAAATGTGGACAAATTTGTCAGCAAATAAGAAAGCCTTAGGGATCTGAAATTCATTGTTAATTTTCAAGATGGCGGCCGTTTCCATAGCAACCGCTGTAGCTATATCAAAATATAACAGCGTATCAAGAGATTTTACAATGCCTAACTTATATGTGTACTTAAATTTGATCTCGGGCAACAAACATAGAAAATGATCCTCAAGGGTAGCTCCTCCCGTTAAGATGTAAGATGGAATCTTAAACTGAGCAGCCGATATGTACATCTGAGAAAAGATGCCCAAACGTTTTATTTCAACACTACAATAATTTCACCTCTTAGTTGTGTGCTGTGGGTTTGTGTACAGTGGAATCCTGTTATAACGAGAGGGAGGGGACCGGAGCAAAATGTCCGTTATAGCAGGATTCTCGCTTTAAGGGATCCAGTAATAAATTAAAGGGAAACTGTAAAGTAGGCCTAATCTATGAGTTTGGTGTTCTGTTTATTTCCTTTTGATATCTCCCCTGATGGTGATTTTGTTTCAACATGACCTCTAGGTCTTACTTGATCAAAAATCGAATCAGGTTTCTTTCTCTAGCGCTAGATCGAGCGATGTGGACTGACAGCTCGGCGTTGGCGATCAGAAAGGAAGGGCTCTGGGCTAACTCACACATTCGCTCCGTCCATCACATTGCTGTGACCTCTCCATCCCCGCATCGGAGAAGTGAGAGGCAGGGTAGGCCTTGATAATCTAAACTAGGCTTACGCTGGCATATCACACGATGCGTTCTGCTTGTCTGCGCATGCCACACCCTCCCTACTCAGTTGCTCCGGCCTTCATTATTGACGCACATGGGCTCTCCTATTCTTTGTTTCGCAAGATCACAAACAAATTTCTCAACTGGCGAGGTTTTACGTTATGTATAATTGGCCTATGCCCTGTGCACAGCAGCAACAATATTCCGCTATAACCAACTCTCATGTTTGTCTGACAGCGCTATAGCAGTATTTTATTTACAAAGGTAAAGAGGAGAAAAAAACGGGGTTTTAGAATAGTGTCTTTATAACAGACTTCTCGTTATTTCTGGACTCGTTATAAGTGGACTCCACTGTATAACCTTCCAACACTGTGAGTCACTGAGGGTGGAAACATGTGCGTACATTTCCCAGACCAAAAAACATCAATTGTGCCACAGGAACAAACTCAGACTCCTCACAAACTTCCATCACCTGATTGACTGTAGTTCCAATGCAACCCTGCAACACCATCTGTAAGATCTTGGTGTCAGGTGGTTCCTGGGCCATGGCAAGAGCCAGTTCCCGCGTCTTCTTGTGAATATCTTCTATAGCAACTTCCACGGGGGATAAAATGATCTGTAACAGGAAAACACAACACAATCCAATCAACATTTAATAAATTACTGATTTTCATAACAGACCTAAAAATTTATGGGACAGAAAAAGTAGCAAGGTACGAGTTGAACATCAAAAGTGAAATGAGAACATCACACCTGAAGTGAAGCTGATGATCCTTATCTGCTTGTAAAAAAGAGTTCTTATGAAAAAAACCAACAACCCCAGAACAAACTACTTGTTTTTTGTTTTAGTAAAGGTTTTACGGCGCTCCCAACTGCATAAGGTTATATGAGCACCAAGGGGTGGATGTCAACAGAGAAGTCCTTACAGAGAATCAGACTTACTCTGCTCATCTCTCTAGCTTCAACAGCATAAAGTCTGCTTCGACTATCAAGGCACCCCAGAAATAGCGGGTCACAAGAGTGTGACAAACATACAACAGAAGTAGAGGAAAATGACGATAGTAAGGATTAGGAAAGAAAAAGCAGCAGTTCCCTGTTGTAGTTCAGGCACAGTTATGAGCATGACATTGTTAGATTAGCCCATTTACAATTCTACTGTGCATTAAAACGAGAAATGTCCCCCCTTTGGGAATGGCCTAAAGACACTTCAGTCAGTGGCACCGTCCCGGGGAGTGTGTGTGTGTGTGTGTGTGTGTGTGTGTGTGTGTGTGTGTGTGTGTGTGTGTGTGTGTGTGTGTGTGTGTGTGTGTGTGTGTGTGTGTGTGTGTGTGTGTGTGTGTGTGTGTGTGTGTGTGTGTGTGTAGTACAAACTACAACTCGGTTCAACTCATCTGGAGAGTCACAACAGGTCCCTACACAGTGCACATCATGCTTTCTTGCCTCAGTGCAATCAACCTTTTCTCATTTATTTCTACCAAATGAGCCACATGCATCATCATCCCAAGACAAACACAAGCTGATTCTTGCACTGAGTAGACACAAAAAAAACCCAAACATTTTGATTAACCTTAGGTCGGTCAGGATGTGATTAGACTGCCCTCATATTTGCTGCCAAGTTCACATGCTACCACGTAATTCCTCTTCTGTTGTACTATTTTTGTCAATCCATGCTAAAAAACATTCAAAGACATTTCAAAATCTATATCTTTCATGGGTCTGATCGTTTTGGTGTAAAAAATACAGCTATCGATATGAAAATTCCTGTGAAATGTTCTGACAATCCTGCACATTCTCTGTGACTGATCCAGGATGAGAGAAAAGTATTAGAAAACTGCAGTCCTGCAAACATACTGACCTGTTTCCTCTCGATGACGCTGACCCTGGTCTTGATGTACGGGAAGAAGTGGTTGGTGGTCAGGATAGTTTTACGTTTGTACTGCTCGTGCAGCTCTCCGTGGGCACGGCCGTCCAAGGTGAAGGGCGTCGCATAGATGAACCGTTCTGGGGAGAGTTGTTATTGATAAAACATTTGGAAAAGAAATCTATTGGAACAAAAACAATAGTTGTAGAGCTCATAGAGCCTGCTGAAGAGAAATGCAATTATCATTATTGTTAAATGGATATTAGCATTGGTTGTTGTTGTTGTTGTTATCGATCCAGCAACAGCTGGGCTCTCGCCCTTCTGTCCAATGCCATGTAGCATTGGTAAAAAGTACTGCATCACGAAAAGTAACAGCACTAATGCAACCGCTTCCTACACAATCATTATTGTACATAGACCCATCAAAATTCTAACGGGTCTCGAGCGACGTTCAGTGAGTTGTCCAGAATACAAAGAGATGCTTTGCACTCCAGAAGTATTTCTTTGTCACTGTAGGTGTTTCGTGGCCCCATCCACCCTATTTAGATCATTCAGCAGGTAGGTTACTTGGACCCAGCCTGTAACAGCAACCCATCTGGGCAGTGAAGGAAAGTCCAGGAATTCTTCAAACAGCTTGTCCTGGGAGCAGCCACCAGGGATCAGGATAGGGTACAGATCACAGAAGACACAAGGAGATACTCGATAAAACAACCTCCCTACACACGAATAGAACTAACGTCTTCTGCGTGTGATGGTGCAAGGCCTAACTGCTACATCACAGACGCCTGTAAATGTATCCTTGATCAGGAATTTAGGTGTTGAGAGGTCATCATAAGGAAGTACTAACACTGAACGGATGTTCATAGTTCCTGCAATCACTAGGGGCATTTCAGGATATCAAAATATCTTCAAAGCTCTCTGCATTCATTCTTTCAAAACAAATAGGGTCTAAACCCTTGTTGACATAACTCCCTAGTTCAAGATCCAAAAATGTGTACAAAAAAAGATGATTTTGAGTAATTTGAAACAAAAAAGTGTAGCCATACGCATAACAATGAACTCATCATTATAAGCCGAACTTTTGAAGATACAGCTGGTTGTGTGTCCAATTGTCAAAGTCCTTTCATAATGTTCCAAGTATTTGTCCGATTCATGTTTAATCCATTTGTCCAATTCAAGTTTAATCCATTTGTCACTTACACTGAAACATTTACATTTACTTCTATTTATACGAAGCCAATGTACATAAATTCTGATGTATGCGGTGCTTGGCAGATTTAGCCCTGCAAGGACTTGCTGTAGCAAGTCTTGAGGCGCTTCAATTCATCCTTGGTGTACTCATCTTGCTTCTGTTTAGACTTGATGATAAGAATAGCTTCAAGGGTAACTCAGCCCAGAGAGCCTCTAATTTCAGTCTTGATTTTCCTGAAGGATGAAAATAGTCTTTCACAGTGTGCACTGCTGTGCATAAAAATAGCTTCAAGGGTATCTGAGCCCAGAGAGCCTCTAATTTCAGTCTTGATTTTCCTGAAAGATGAACATAGTCTTTCACAGTGTGCACTGCTGTGCATAAAAATAGCTTCAAGGGTATCTGAGCCCAGAGAGCCTCTAATTTTAGTCTTGATTTTCCTGAAAGATGAACATAGTCTTTCACAGTGTGCACTGCTGTGCATAAAAATAGCTTCAAGGGTATCTGAGCCCAGAGAGCCTCTAATTTCAGTCTTGATTTTCCAGTGCGCACTGCTGTGAGGAATAGTGAGGAAGCCAAGCATGAAAGTAGCTATATTGGCATATCCCTATAATATAGAGGTGGCCGTCAGGGCAGGTTTGACTGTAGCTATATTGGCATATCCCTATAATATAGAGGTGGCCGTCAGGGCAGGTTTGACTGTAGCTATATTGGCATATCCCTATAATATAGAGGTGGCCGTCAGGGCAGGTTTGACTGTAGCTATATTGGCATATCCCTATAATATAGAGGTGGCCGTCAGGGCAGGTTTGACTGTAGCTATATTGGCATATCCCTATAATATAGAGGTGGCCGTCAGGGCAGGTTTGACTGTAGCTATATTGGCATAGTATAGGGATACGCTCCACTGCTGTTATCCCTGATCTTCTTGACTCTACACCAGAACTCATCTGTCCTCACGGCTGTCTCAATCTTCATGCTGTCTCTGGTGATTTGAAAGTCCAGGAATTCTTCAAACAGCTTGTCCTGGGAGCAGCCACCAGGGATCAGGATAGGGTACAGATCACAAAGGACCTGATGCAGTCATGTGAAACAGTGGCACATTTGTCTGGATCGCATATATCCATTTTGTTCAGGAAGGGATCAGACAGTGGCAGTTTTTTCAGCAGATAGTCACACACAGTCTTGAAGTAAGACTTGACATTGACAAAGAATTCTTTGATTCTAAAGTCTCATAAAGCGTTCTTGTCTTTGATGTACTTCAGATATTTTTCCTCGATCAGTGGGTCTTCGTCTTCTTTCACACTGTATGCCAACATGTACTGAACATCTGTAACAAGCTTGTTTCCAGCAAAAGCACTGGGTTTAACAAATTTGATCATCAGAGAACGGACAAGCCTGTGGCATTGCTAAGAAATCGAGGCTGCCTTGGGATCATCCGACTGGTTCACCGTGAGAAGTTCTGTGAAAAATTTGTTGGTGTCCAAGATCAGGCAATACAGCTTTGTAGATCTCGACCTAAGGCTTTTGAGGATTTTCTTTGACTTTTCCGTAGCATAAGGGCTAAGCTCTGTTTTTTTTCACCCCTTCTGCAAAAAAGCTCTCCAGGGCATTTCAACTTCGTAGAAGCCTGGCTAAGCCAAAGGGTGGGCACATGTTTCAACATTTTTTTGTTGGTTCTTCACCATATAGAGACTGTAGTTCAGCTAGTCTGCTAGCTCTGAGGGAACTTTTGTTGAAATATAAGTCAACAAACATGTCTGACACGGAGATTGGAATTTGATTGGCACTTTTTTCAGCTGCAATATGCACAAGGTGCAGAGGGCACCCAGCAAGGAAAATATTGGCATGCTTTACGCTACAAAAAGAAATCACTCCCTTGTGCTCTCCCGTCATTACACTTGCATTGTCACACCCTAGAGTCAAACACTTAGTCTAAGGAATTCCGTTCTTTTCAATTTCACACTTGATGAGTTCATAGATTTTCTTTCCTATCGCAGAGCCATCGCAGGTGGGCAGAGATAGTAGCTCAGAATGTACTCCATTATAATCCGTCACAGTCCTGACAACTATTGGGAACAACTTAGTGCGCTCCACATCATTCGATCCACCTGTGCTGATGCTGAAGGGTCCATTTTTCAAATGATCCACAAGCTTTTCCTGGGTCATCGAACCAATTTCTTGGTTCCTACCAATTCCTACCAACTGAAAATATTAGGTGTGTCCCGCGCGCTCATATGACCTTATGCAGTTGCGAGCGCCGTAAAACACTTTACAAAAACAAACAAAAAACATGACAGAGGTGATTCCGCGATCTTGAAAACTCTTCACTCCGAATCGAAAAAGTTATAATCTTTGTACTATGACTAGATCTAGATCTACTCACTGTCTTCACAAGAAATACCTTGCACACAACAGAAAATAACCTCCATTTAGTTTCCATCAAGATATCGAAATGTCACTGACACTGAACAAGCCTCGTAATTCGGAAAACTTGGCACACGCAGCACAGGCACATGTAGATTTCTGGATGCTCTGACTTGGATAAATTTCCCGCACTCATTAATAAAGAAGAGGCCTGATCCGGATGTTGCTAGTTAAATGAACCTATCGCACATGCTCGCAGCATCGCACATGCCCACAGCACAGCAAAGCGAAGGGCAGATCATTCCAAATCAGCCCAGCGACAAGCCTCGTTCAAGCCTGAGCCAGCATCATACTTCCGTCATTTGGCGTAATTAATCAACATTTTACGGACATCAAACCGGCCAGTTCGCAGGTGGGAAAGATGCGTAATAATTACGTAAAAAGCGTCAAAATAGGGAGGTCTGTGTTGACCCTAAACGATAGAATATTTCTTCTCTACTCACACATCCAATAAATCCACCCCACAAACAGTCGACAAGATAAAAAAGGAAGACAAAGGAAGGGGAAAATAATAAAGCACTCACTGAGCTTGTAGTTTTTGTCAAAGTACGTGATCCTCTCCTTGTACTCGTACATGTCAAAGTATGGCTCCACGTAGGTGATCTGAATATATGCCTGGTGTAGAAAATAAGACAGCATTTGAATTTTCTTTATCATTCTAAAAAAGATTCAACTTTCCAACAGATAAATAAATACAGAATGTACTCCGAATTAGTAAAAAAAAAAACAACAAAAAACAAGCTATGTATCTTAACTGATTTCAAATTTTACAGAGTAAAATTAAAGTTGACAACACTTGAAATATCAGAGGTGACAACAATATATTTTGAAAAACCGGAACAAAGAAAATGAAAACTATAATTTGAAAAGGTTACCATTTGAAAAATATCACATTCTTATGAACCAAAAGACAGGCTTCTAATCAATGGGCTTGACACTTTACTTATGTTCAAACAACATACAAAGTAGCTCTAACCTTCTCAGGATCCAGTTTGTCTTTTTCCACTGTGTTTGAATCCTTAACGATCTCAACAAAATCATGGCCGAATCGTTCTCCGTAGAAGCTCTGCAAAAATAGTACAACAAAAAAAGCGTATTATTTCTCCCTTGAAATGAAATGATATGTCAGAAGCACAACAGGAGAGATACTAACAAAATCATAAGATAAGATAAAATAAACTTTATTGATCCTACACAGGAAGAAATTACCATGTGCTTTCACCAGTTTCTGCAACACACACTACAACTGTATATAAACGGTTGAAACAAATTTTGTGACATCTATTTGTGACATCTATCAAAAAGCACTTCACTCATTCTACAAGTTTAGAAAATCTGGGGAAAATGCTTATCACCTCAAACAATGAGAACATGCACTGAGCAGCACAACTAACCTCAAGACGGTGTGAAATCTCTGGCAGTTTCGTGATCATCTGCTCCTTGTAAATAAACTCCTCGCCGTCTAAATCGCCAAATTTAGCCCCGTAGAAGCCAACCCTGAAGTAAGTGCCAAAGATCCTCTTGCCCTCTTGCCGTGTGATGTTGGTGAAGGCTTCGTGAAGCTTTTGATGTACCAGGGCCAGTTTCTTGTAGTCGCGGTTTTGTTCATAGATGGGCACCATCAGTTTGTACACTTCATTCACAGCTTCAAACATGCTGGCCTGCAATTGGCATGCGTAAGATTACTGAGGTGGGTATATAATTAAATTATTGCTATAAAGTATACTCAGTATGGAAGCAACAAAAAAAAAAGGAAACAGAAATTGAATTGGTGTAGAGAAAGGACAGATGAAAAGGTTTTTTTTATTTAAAAAAAAATCATTTGCAGTTGTCGGAGAAGACAAGGGGGCTCTCTTGGCCTGGAGGTAAAGGTGTTCACCTCTCATTCAAAGGTTGCAGGTTCAAATCTGAGTAGCGATGGAAAATTTTTCTTCTTTAAAATTGTCTCTTTTCACCTCCTTTCCTGTTCTCTAGCATTGTTCTATCACCTGCTTTCATTTCCATTTTCTGCCCCCACCCCCTCACCTCCTTTGCCCCCTCCTCTGGGCTCTTGACTTTTTCTGCAGCCTTTCTACTGCTACTCTTTGGCTCCTTCTTACTGCTGTTTTTCAGCCACACACCTGATCTTCTGGTAGGAAAGATCTACACCTATCCTTCTCAGATATAAGGGAAAAATCCCAGAGGTCCCGTGTGCAAGTTGCGCACGTTTAAGATCCCTAGGAGGTCTAAAATCGATAAGAGTAGGCTTTGGCCGCCACCCGGGCTTCAAAATTTCCTACCAACTGAAAATGTTTGATGTGTCCCGCACGCTCATATGATCTTATGCAGTTGCGAGCGACGTAAAACACTTACCAAAACAAAAAAAGGAGAAGAAAACAGCATATACAAACTACAGTAGACTGTTTAACACAAAGTCATTTAATATTACATTTCTGTTACCCGGAAGGGATTTCAAATCCCCCCCGCCCAAATTTTTTTCCTCTTTTTTGCTATGCGTTGCAACTCCCCTTCACAATAAATCTGCTCAAAATTAAGAAAACAAAGAAATTCTCTCGACCCAGGAAGTTTGCATTACCAGGGCTTTACTGTGTAAGTATATATATAAAAACGAAAACCCCCCACCAAAACTCACTACTTACACATCCCTCCGCACAACAACAAACACAACACCAGAGAAAAACTGACCATATTGAAAAATCCTGCTGCTTGCTCCAACAGACCCACCAGGCCATTCTCGGTGAAGTACATGCCCGTGCAGATGCCTTCTTCGTCTGGTGAGACCACATCGTCTGACACAGCACTTTCTTCCAAGACATTGGAGGTGATTTTCTGAAGGGAGGGGGGGGGGAAGTTTTCAATCATGTTACGACTTTGAACTTGTATGAAAAAGAAGACAGTGGGTGTTTGATTGTATTAATGTGACTGACAAGGCATTGTACATAAAACGTATGTAGGAAGAGGGGTACGGTGGTCGATAAAGAATAAATCGGAGACAGAGGAAGAGAGACAGTGAGAAAGAATACAACTGAAGTACATATGTGCATGTGTGAGTGAGAGAGAATGAGTCTGTGTGTATGTGTTTGTGTGTGTGTGCATGCATGTGTGTACGAACGAGTTTGCGTGTGGGCATGCATGTGTGTACGAATGAGTTTGTGTGTGTGTGTGTGTATGAGGGGGGGGCGCAGGTTCACAAGCAGTGAGCTGTGTATACTGCAACAGCACACACCCTCACCTCAAAAGCCACACAGCCCACAGGAAGGTACGGTTTGTCCTCCAACATGTTGAGATATTCAGCAACAAGACCAGCTGCGTGCACCAGGCACTGAGCTGCCTCCGCATGGTTCCTTCTCTGCAACACAATACAAAGAAATATTTATCCTTTCACAGGTCTTTGGAGAGAACAATACTGAAACATTATAGCTCTCTGCAACACAATACAAAGAAATGTTTCACGGGTCTTTTCAGAAAATAATACTAAAACACTTACTATAGCTTTCAGCAACACAATATGGAAAAATATTTATACTTTCATACATCTTCCCACTCATCTCTTGAGAAAATAATACAAAAACACTATAGACATACCTCTCTGCAACACAATACAAAGAAATGTGTGTGTGCCTGGTGAAAGGGACCACATGTCGCATTTTCTCAAACCGAGATATCAGGCTTCAAAGTCAAAAATAGAATTTTGGACAAAAACTAAGTTCCATTAAAAATGGATTCTTCAGCCATTTATTTATTGATATTTACAAGGATTTGGGTTATTTTGACTTTAAAATACATTTTAAAAGGTGTTTGTTAACCCGAGATATATTGCATAATCCCAAAAAATGCGTGAGGAAACTGGCTTTCAGGGTAAACACTGCGGATGGTTTCTCTTGTCCATTCATAAAGTCGACCCAATCACATTGCATACTAAAATTTAGGTCATTCTCTCTGCTCTCCAATGGCAGGTAGTGCGCATGAATATCTAGAACATGTAAACAAAGCGAAACTTTGCGCACCCATACCCTTTTGTTTCTTTGGAGAGCAAACTTGTATCGCCTATTTCTGCCCTGTGCGAACCGTATTTCTTGAAATTTCTGTTCAATGTGGTGGTGAATTTGTTTTGAAGACGTAATATAAACACTTTGAAGCTGTTCTTTTATTGTAAAGCTGCTTTTTAAAGTTGGTTTGTGAGAAGCGACTGTGTTGTCAGGTCGTCTCGAAGCACAACAGCACGGCGGAGCTGCCAGCTGTTACTACTACCGGTACTGTTAGTAGTAGATCTTGTACTAGATCTAGATCTAGTACTGCTATTCGTGAGCAGGAAATTGGGTCTCTTCTCAATTCTCTTAGACGCATTGGAATGTCAGAATGGCAACTGAAGAAGACATTAGAGATGTAATATGCGATTATTTCGTTTCTGACGTCGATTTGGGAGAAGAAGAAGAAGATGAGTTCGATCTGTGGTGCCATCGCCAGTTCCAGACCCCGCACTTGAAGCAGAACCGAGCGAAGCAGGTAAAGATTAACAACAACAAAAACAACAGTGATAATAGAAATAGATTTAGATTTAGCAAACTAATAATTATTTATTATAATGATAATTAATAGTAATAATTATCATTACGCTGTTCTTTCTTGATAAACCTAAATCTAGATCTAGTTTAGATCTAGCTTACTCGTAGTAGTGCATTTTTGTTTTCTTAATTCTAAATGTATGCAAAACAAAATTTCATTTATTCCTTGGAGAGTCTGGGTTCTAAGATCTGGATATGTGGCAATCTTGTTAAGTGGGTAAGGAACAAAAAGTTTTCCTCTGACCCTGATGATTGATAGTGTTAAGTTCCCTAGTTACTGTGGTGAAGATACTTTTTTTGCCTGTGTGTGTTGCAGGAGATGAAGGGGGAGGGAGGGGGGTATCAAGTTTTTAAACAAAACAATAATAATTATGAACATGATTTAACAACATTATATTTCAGCAACAGCAAAACCTTTTTACTAGAATGGTGACTTGTTATGAAAAAAGGGTATTCTGTTTTTGTTTTTTCTGCAGAAACAAAGGTGAAACTTTAGAGCCGTTTTTCTCAAAACTTTGTTTCCGTACTCTGCCTTACAAAATCGCCCATATCTCAAAAACTACTGAAGATATCTTCAAAATTTAAAAAGCACATTGTTCAGAAATGAATTTTGTACAAGAAAATGCCAAAAACGGGATTTTTCAAAATGCGACATGTGGTCCCTTTCACCAGGCACACACACAAATGTTCATCGTGTCACACATCTTCTGAGAAAATCACACATAGGCACAAAAGAGATTCCTCTCAAGGAATAAAAAAACAATTTAATTTTGAAGTTTTACCATTCGGTTCAATTTACCTCCATCTGTTTTCTTAAAGACTTCCAACCCCATTACTCTACAGAAAAAGTTCAGCCTTAAAACTTATTTGTATACAATTAACTGAAACAAATTGAACTTATAAGGCTGGAAAAACAAAATTTAATAGTTTCAGATCAATAATAAATAGCATTTATACTGCGCATTTCCATTTCCTAAAAGATGTTCAATGCCCATTACAACGAAAAAGACATCACATCTTAAAAATTAATCGACAAGTGTGTACGTAAAACAACGTATTATACATATAATATAAATGCATATGTGTAAAATTTATATGAGAAAAATAGTCTCGCAGTGAGGTTAGATCAAGATACGTATTACTGACAACGAAGACCAAGGAGAAACTTTTCTTTAAAATTTTTAATTTCTTTGCCCATTCCTACCTCCATGCCTGTTTTATTCAGCCGATAAACAAGCACAATTTCTTTATTTGAGCAGAAGCTTGACTTTAACGATAGTTCACGAGAAACTTGTCAGCAATATACGCTTCAACTAAACTGGCTACAGAACATTCTGACATAAATATTGACTTGTACTCTGACCTGGCTGTGGTCCCGAGCCATGTTCTGCAGCCAAGTGAGCCTCAAATCCGGAGAGTTCTGGTAACCCTTAGCAATACGGTACATCAGGTCCAGCAACATCTCAGGGTCCTCGGCAAACTCCTTCATCTTCACCGTGTCGGACAGGATCATGTGCAGGTTGAACACCAAGTCACGCACCTGAACAGAGGGAGGTGGTAGGGGCAGCACTTTAGATAAGGGGGAACGACAAATTGCAAGTCTGATGTTCCATGTACAAACCCTAAATGTCACATTTTTTTTAAAACTGAGAAAAAAAAAGTTTAAATTTTGAAAGCCTGTCTTAGAAAATTCATAGTCATGGACAGCATATTTATTGGAACAGTGTAACAGAGCAGCTCACAACCATAGTAAATGTCTGATCCTAGCACATCGACCTCAAAGGCCTTTGAGGCAGAGATGACACTGGCAACAAACCACCTTAGTAAAATCAGCATGACATACCCTAACTAATGAAAAAACATCAAAGCTTGCCAGCAATAAGGCTTATAGACATGCGGGAGGCACTTAATTAGCCAAATTCATTGACATTTAGTATAATTTGACACATTCAAGAACTTGAAGTAACAAATCTTGCAGGGTCATAGTTTAAGACAACAATAACTTATTAGTGACAACAATAACTTATTAGAATACCAGTAACATCTGAAAGTAGGAAGAGTTGACCAAACCAGAGCACTCACCTACCATCCACTGCAGTAGCAATAACATGCTGCCAAAGCACATTTTTATGAACCATCCACGTCATGAGAACACTTTGTGGGAAATGTAAAATAACTATTTAAATAAAGGAAAGGAACTCTAACACATATAATTTAGTGCAAGACCAGCAACCGCATCACTTCTAACCAAAGCATTTTTAGGTACCAGATGATTCAAGGAAAGCAATATGTGAAATTCAGGAAATTGAGTAGTTTCCGAGACCAACTGACAATAAGCACAACTTATAGGAAAAGGGCTTGTCCCACTACCTGCTCTCTGAAAGACGTGTTCTCCAGCTCCTGGTCATTCTCAGCGTATGTCAAGATGGTCTTGAGGGATTTGCGGAGAAACTCTTCATTGAAAGTCTTGTTCTGACCCACCAACGAACTTAGGGACATTGTCACCTGCATCTTCACGCGGGCAAAATTCTGTAACATAAAGCAGCAATAACAGGCAAAATTTTGTAACATAAAGCAGCAATAACTGGCAAAATTCTGTAACATAAAGCAGCAATAACAGGCAAAATTCTGTAACATAAAGCAGCAATAACTGGCAAAATTCTAAACAGTAAACGTTCAGTTTCAATGTTAGACACCCCCCCCCATATCAAGGTCTGTAGATTTTTAATTAAGCACCAATAGAGGCATCTAGCAGAAAGGGCCAGGATCAGACAGAGGCAACACTTTGTTCAATCTTATTTGACTACGTAGCACTCAGCACTATGTCCAACACATCAACAAACTTAAAACTGATAAAATGAATCCATGCCTGCAAAAATTTACATTTGTAATTGGAAGAGGCTAGAGAGACCAGGATCCTGGTCTGTCTAGCCTGTGAGTCTAGAGAGACCAGGATCCTGGTCTGTCTAGCCTGTGAGTCTAGAGAGACCAGGATCCTGGTCTGGTGTGGTCTATTGTCTCTAAAGAGACCAGGATCGTGGTCTGGTGTGGTCTATTGTTATGATCGTGGTCTGGTGTGGTCTATTGTCTCTAAAGAGACCAGGATCGTGGTCTGGTGTGGCCTATTGTCTCTAAAGAGACCAGGATCGTGGTCTGGTGTGGTCTATTGTTATGATCGTGGTCTGGTGTGGCCTATTGTCTCTAAAGAGACCAGGATCATGGTCTGGTGTGGCCTATTGTTATGATCGTGGTCTGGTGTGGCCTATTGTCTCTAAAGAGACCAGGATCGTGGTCTGGTGTGGTCTATTGTTATGATCGTGGTCTGGTGTGGCCTATTGTCTCTAAAGAGACCAGGATCGTGGTCTGGTGTGGCCTATTGTCTCTAAAGAGACCAGGATCGTGGTCTGGTGTGGTCTATTGTTATGATCGTGGTCTGGTGTGGTCTATTGTCTCTAAAGAGAACTTGCCTTCGTGGACACACCTGAAGGTGACGTGGGTGTACTTCAAATCCTCTTTGTAACGAAAGTTACCTTTCAGTTTTGAATTTGCAGCCCTCACTGTCAAACTGGACTTCCCTACCACTAGATGCTCGTTGCTTTCGGCTTTCCTCGACGTCAAGACGGCCATAAAATCATCAAATGAGTCGAAATACTGCCCTACGGAGATGGGGGCCGCCATCTTGAAGTCGAAAATTGAAAGGAAAGGAAGTTGGACTCGGGGTTTGAGCATGCGCACACGCAGAAAATTTCCCTGGTCTCCCTAGCCAGGCTGGCTAGGGAGACCAGGATCCTGGTCTCGGGAGACACTTCCTTTGTAATTTTATTACATCCTTCTAGGGCACTATAATCCACCACATCAATAAACACAAGAAATAAGTAATAAATCTACGACAAATAGAAGCCTTTGTTCCATGTTTTGTAAATGAACAGAAACAAATCAGGTAGTTGCAACCACTCACGTTTCCAAGCTCGAAGTTCTGTCTCATCAGCAGATAGAGAGAAGCCGAGGCCTGCGAGCGCGTGGCTGCGATGGGAGAGCTGCAGTGACGCAGCAGACGCAGGCACAGCTCTGCACACTGCTCCGCCTCTTCCTCAAAGAGAAGGTCAAGGAACTGCAAGGAGAGAAATGATGGGATAATTTCTTTGAGAAAAACAGCAGATGGTCATGGTTAACAGTCACTAAGAATTGGGTTAAAGGAAAGTATGATTTAGAAAAAGAAAAGTACATTGACACAAGAACGGCCATTTAGTGCAGGGAAAAGGAACGATAGGCATACAGAAACAACATTGGAAAAGGAAAGAAGTAGGACCTACCACTGGCACCCTAAAAGGTGACAAGAAAAATGAACATTAGAAAAATAAAAGTACATTGACACAAGAACAGCCATTTAGCGCAGGGAAAAGGAACGATAGGCATACAGAAACAACATTGGGAAAGGAAAGAAGTAGGACCTACCACTGGCACCCTAAAAGGAGACAAGAAAAACGAACAACTAATAGGATAAAAATCTCTCACAAGGGATTGACACCAGAAAATCAAACACTTCCATCTGGTACCCTTGGCTTGAGACAATAGCACTGTACCTCGAAGCCAAAGTTCTTCATACATCACCAGAGATAGACAAATAAAGTATACACAAACTGATTACAGCTAACAGACAGCACAACATACCTTTGTGACCAGAGCTCTCTGAGTTGCAAACAGATGCTGTAGTACGGCTGTACTCTGGTTCAGGGCCAACATATGGAGGAGGACACGCAGGGAACTGCCCAGCAGTGGCTGCAGCATCTCAGAGTTCTGGGCAATCTGTTAGACAGATATTTGCAGCATCGTAAGCGTTCCAACTATCAAGTACAGTCAAACCTGTCCATGATAACTATTCATTGTTGAGAGAAAAGTGGTCCGCTTAGACGGATAGTCCTCTTGGACAGTTTCATTGTAATACATAAAAAGGGGAAAGTGGTAAATGGCCATTGGCACTGGCGCTTGTCTTAAAATAAGTGGTTATTTGAGCAGGTTCAACTGATATAAAACAGTTTCACACTTTTACTTTCAAGCTTAAAAATTAACGTAATAATTTGACAGACTTTGTACAGAATGCTCATAAATTGAATTTGCCTTTACAAGTCAAATCAGATGACAACGCACTGTTCAAAATATCACTTGTTTACAATATACATGGTGTAAGAAAAAGCCATGATAGCTGTTAAGGGTAAAAAGTTTGGAATAATAGAAGTACTAATCTGTGCTTTAACTCCATCACTGCCAGTCACTTTATGCCTGTATAAAAAATAATAGTTTGTCCATCAGTGTCTGACCATGACTAATACATCTCGACTGTTACCGAAAGACTCTTCCATACACCATTTTGAAAAGTGACGTATTATTGAGTCTGACACTGAGAAATCGATCTAAACAAAATAATTTTCCTTGAGAGATAGAGAAGAAATAAAGGTAAAGACGGCTTGTAGCTTCTCCTCTATGGCAAATGAGAGAAGTTCTGGCAAAGAAAAATATGCCGTTATTTTGAGCATTTAAAAGCTTCATTTCCACTCGAAATTGTGCCCAGCTTGCCGGCTTGCATCTTCATTTCAGAGTTTCTTATTCAAGAAGCCTCACATAACTTGCTGCCCACTGTCACTGCTACTCTCACCTGTATAATGAGCTCTAAACTGTCCAGGCAGATCATGGAGACTTCAGCAGCTAAGCTTCCCTCATCTTGCATCTCAGTTTCCTGCTCCATCGGCTTAGGGCTGGAAAAGAAAGGACTTCTTAAGAGTGTGCAGATAGCCATGTTGGGTTTTAAAGTTCTCTATGACCCTTGACGTTTTTCAAAATTTATTTTATCTGTACCAACCCACCTGAATTGCTTCACCTGCCTTCTATATTTCTTTCTCCTCTGGAACAACACCCCCCCAACCCTTAACTAAAAATGTGACTATCAATCTTAGCGTAGTTGCTTAACTGTCAGAGAAACCTTAAATACCTCCCAAGAGAAAAGAACAAGGTGAAGGAAAGTATCACTTTAAAAAGCACTGCATTCAAAACAAAATTTCCTCTTTTGAAATACACCTCACCAATTTCTTCGTAAGTGTGTTTTTTTTTAAACAATTTTTTTTAAATAGTAGAGGGTTTTACGGCGCTCGCAACTGCATAAGGTCATATGAGCACCAAGGGGTGGGTGTCAACAGAGAAGTCTTAACTGGGAATCAGACTTAAACTGCTCACCTCTCTAGCTTTAACAGCACAAGGTCTGCTTCGACTATCAAGGCACCCCAAAAATAGCAGGTCACAAGAGAGTGACAAACATACAAAAGAAGTAGAAGAAAATGACAATAGTAAGGATCAAGAAAGAAAAAGCAGCAGTTCCCTGTTGTAGATCAGGCACAGTTATGAGTGTGACATGAGTCAGCCCATTTACAATTCTACTATGCTTGAACGAGAAATGTCCCCCCTTTGGGAATGGCCTAAAGACACTTCAGTCAGTGGCACCGCCCCGGGGGGTGACGTGTGTTTGAGTAAAGAGAAGCACATTGAAGCATCAAAGACATTTAGTGCTGGGAAAACAGACTCGCAAGCGACAGTGAAGAAAATAAAAAAAGTAGCATCTACCAGAAGTGCTCTTCAACCACCCACCTCAAAGGCTTTGAGGAATGTATTTGCTTTTATTACTGAAGTGTATCACTAAATAGTCCCAGCCAGAGTAAAGAAAACAATATCAAAATAACAGTCATTTAATGCAGGGACCCCCCCCCCCCAAAAAAAAACAAACCCAACCAAACAAACAAACAAAACCAACCCCCAGACAAATAGACGCAGCAAACAGAAGAAAAGAAAAGTAAAAGATAGATAGACTGACGGACAAAAACAACAGAAAGAGAGAAAAGAAGGGTCACACAGACAGCATTCTCATTGTTTTACGCCAACCTAGCATAAGCCTCATTCAACCAACCAACATTACACACACAGAGGAAGCTCACCTGTCAAACGAATCCACAGAGTGTCTCCACTGGACCTGGTCCTTGCGCCAGCGCAGACGCGAACCTCCGCTCTCCGGGGCAGCATTGGGCGGTGGAGTCTGAGAGCCACCAAGACCTGGAACACACAAGAGGAGGATTTATTTTTGAAATACTTTCTTAGAAATTAAAAACATTTCCTCTGTACCAACTAATACAACTTGGACTATCTAGGATGTTATTACTTCTATCCAGCCTGTCCTGGTCAAATCGGGTTGAGTGGGAAGCAGCATGCGTGCGAAAAGATGAGAACACAATCGAAATTGTCCAGGACAGCCACAAGTGGTTGTCTAGGACAGGTAAACATCTTGGACAATGTCATTATAATTCAGAAAAAAAATGCAAGGAGACAAGTGGGAAGTGGCCATCTGTACAGGTGACTGTCTTGGACAGGTGGCTGTTAGAATAGGTTCAAGTGTAGCTAATACATGAAACTTTCCATTTGGGAGAACAAACTCATGCTATCTGATTGCAATAGCAAAGAGTATAAAGGAAGAAGAAGCAAACCACACAAGAGCACCCACCAACCACCCACCCACCGAGGTAAAGAGTACTGAGACTACAAAATAAGACAGTGAGCGTACCAGAGAGAGAAGCCTGCGAGTTCTGTCTCCGTCTCATCATCATCTCTGTCCGAGCATTGCCCGTGCCTAGGATGGCCTCCTCAAGGCGTGACTTCATGTCCACGCTCTTCTTCAGGGTCTGCTGAGAGCACTGGGTAACCATTTTCTTGCCCTGGAACACAAGCACAACCAGCATATTTATTCGGATGACACGAATACAAAGCACGGGAAATTAAGATGAGACAAAACAAAATGTGAAATGGTATGGGTTTAACGCCCCTATCAACACTATTAGGTTATTTAAGGGGTGGGACCTCCTAGTTTAAGGTCCGTCTCCGATAGGACCGAGTCATATGGGAAGTTCGTGTAAAGTGCCTTTCCCAAGGACACAACGTCGGACCAAGCTGCGGCTCGAACCCCCAAACCCGCAATCTCACGATTACGAGTCCGGAAGCCTAACCACTAGGCTACCGACGCCACTTGAGACAAAACGAAAGGCACATATTGAAACAGAAAGACAGGCAGACAGGTAGGCACAGAAATACAGACAGATGGACAGATGGAAAGTAGGATGGATGAATGATGGAAAAAAAGAAATGATCGACACACAGAAAGACAAACAATTTGACAGAGACTAACAAAAGATTCATTTAGAAAACTAGGAAAAAGTAAGATTTTGAAAACAATTACTTTCTAGTAAAATTAAGTAAATACAATAAACAACTTTCAAGTGAAGGCATCTACTACCACAATAGCACAGTTTCTTTGGAACTATTCACAGGAAGGACCTTCGTCCTGAGCTTATCTTCAACATTTCAAATCCGAGGGACCAAAATAATATGAAACTATTATAAGGGTCTCTGGTTCACTCAAATTATCTTGCCTCATGATCATTCGGGTGGAGACCATACTTTGGTGCCTCAAAATTAATTAAAAATCAAAACTGTCAATGTGCGTACATTGCGCAGGAGCATTTTACCAACTTTCCATACAGAAAAAAATCATTTTAAAATCTTTTATCAAACAAATATCATCACATTCTACAAGACATTAGTCACAGATGTACATGTAGTCAATAGCTTGGACAAGAACATGTCAATAAACCCTTTATAAAACAGAATGTGAAGTTGACCTGATTTCAGCCCAACATATTTAAGTACACATAGTGTCCCCCAAAGTGACAATAGGTAGATCTAGTTACTGAAGACAGGAGATCAAATTTTTAAAAATTCAACTCAAAAGAGAAAAAGTTCAAATTGATTTACACAAAGATCCGTTTCAAAGTTACCTTAAAAAAAGTGTTTTTTAAACTCAAATATTATTTTTATTTCATAAAAAACGCAGACCTGACAAAATAACAAAAGGGCCATAAAAAATATCTGCACAAAAACAAAACTGCACTTTTTTAATGAATCCACATGAAGAACTTTATACAAGCAGATCGACGCCGAGACGACTTCGGCGACTCAGGCTATCCAGGCACAGCTGGAGGTAGTGTGGTTAGGTTAAACGCCAACACAGCAGGAGCTCGCATCCGCCTCAAGCCAAACAAAACTAGCTGAGTATTACTAAGCCATGTTTAGAACAAGTCAGTACAGACGCCATTAAATTAGAACAGAGACTGACCTCGCACAAGGTCACACAATGCTCATGGACGTTGTCATGACTCCCAACATTTTTTATTCCCTACCCTAATTGTGTTAAAATACAATGCACCCAAAAAAAAAATATTCTCAATGAAACAGAGTGAGCTTGCTGTTGAGTGCTAATTTATGCTGAATCGGTAAAATAACTGTCACATTTCAATCAAACAGTTAAGGATAATACTGATAAAACTCAAAAGAAAAAGGAGGAGAAAATGACATTAGACCAGCCATTCACCACTCATGCTGGAAGCAGATCTGAAGTTTTTACAGCAGTAACCACTCAATCTGGACCATGAGGTTAATTAGGACAAAATCAATATGGAGACATAAGTATTGTTCGAGGAGTATGATGACCCTACAGAGAGCCTGCTAATTTGCCAGGAAAAAAAAGTTTTCTAAAAAGACGTTTACCTTAAATGAAGAGTCTAACAAATGATCAAAATTTGAGAAAAACAAGGAGCATAAAGAGAGATTGTTGGGTGATAGACAGGCAGTACAAATAGAGCATGAAAGAACGAGACCCTGCCTTTTAAAATCACCGTAAGCACATTCCAACCAGCCACACTAGAAAATCTTTATAGCAAACAAAAAAGCAAATACATTTTAGAAATGAATAAAAAGATTTCTATTGAACACCTGACGAACATTTGTCAACAGGAGTCAAAGCCGACAAAAACTCTGGTCAGTTGTCAAATCATGAAAGAATACAAAGAAATAAACAATAACCGTAGAAACTCTGGCCATACTAGGACCATCATAGTACACTGAACTCCTGCATTTTACATAATAAACTTAATACAGATCTACACTCACAGATCACAGCTCTCAAAATACAGCACACTTTCTTTGACAACACAGTGCACACTCATTATTTACTGAAGCATATAAAGGTATGTATAATCATCATATGCATGCATGTAAATACTCATTCTAAATGATGAAGATAGGGATGACTCTATACGTGTGACATCACAATGATACAGTGGGAAAAACGTTACAGTACGTATATATATAACGTGGGTTCACATACAAGATTTTGTTGTGCTTTACTGAGATGCCATGCATCATAATAAACAAGAACGCGAGACTGGAAGACATTACATATTAACATGTACACATGTCTTCATTTCACAAATTTCTTTCAAAACTTCAGGACATGAGTTTACGAGACACGTTTTTTTTTGCTTGTTATTAAGTTTCAAAGCATTCAGAATATTTACTTATGCTGACTGACATACAAAACCTATCCAAGCACATGAACAAATTTATCAAATGAGCAACAATCATAAAGATCAATGCTTCAACAGCTTAGAAGACAGAAAGTAAAAGTACATACACCAGGGGTTTTCCCCCCCCCCAGAAATAATAGAGTAAGAACACGAGAGAAGAACAGGAACATAAGCAAAAAAGGCTCAAAATAGACATTCGAGGGAGAGTCCGTAAAATAATTGACAGCAGCAGCATACACGTGGCAACAAAAAATGATAGACCTTAAAAATATACATTCCATCAAGCAAGACCCACTGCACCTAAGAGTATTTCAAACATTGTAATTGCAAAAACTAAACTTTAAAACAAAAAATTTCATGGACATACATACAAAAAGAATATACGGCTTTCATACCAGAGAAAAACAGATGGTAAAAAAGGTAAAAATCAGAAATTACCCCCTTACTTCATGTAGTTAAGCACATCAATGATAAAGTTAATCATCCAGATATTTTTTAAAGAAATGTCACAGCTAATTAGGACTGCGTATCTCCAAAGCCATGTAACACTTGTAAGACTCAAGACTCCATAAACTACTCCGGTAATTTTGCTGCCTTAAGAGAATGATCACATTAGTTTGTTGATCCATCACAAATTGTGCGATCTCAAACAACCTACAACTCGGCAATCCACCTTACACTTCACAGTCATTGAATGTACAAACTAGCTGCAAAGAGGTGGGTGGGTGATGTACTACAATTTACTTTTATGAAAAAACTATTGAAGATTCAAAAGGCTGAAGCGTATTTTACCTCTGTGCCTACCAGCCGTATAGCTGGCCAAGTTGCAACTTTCAATTGACCATTTATGAGATTTTATGGGGGGGGGGGGGGGACTTGGGGCAGGGGCGGCGGCGTAATTATCTGTGTAGCTGGCAAAGTTGGAACTTTTGATTAACCTTTTATGACATCTCTATTTTACTTCAGAGAGTGAGCGCAGCCCATGCCTACCTGTGAAGCTGGCAAAGTTGTAACTTTTCATTAACCTTTTATGACATCTCTATTTTACTTCAGAGAGTGAGCGCAGCCCATGCCTACCTGTGAAGCTGGCAAAGTTGTAACTTTTCATTAACCTTTTATGACATCTCTATTTTACTTCAGAGAGTGAGCGCAGCCCATGCCTACCTGTGTAGCAGGCGAGTCCTCCTTGCTGTTGGTGCGAGTGAGCAGGTTGCTGCCTCCCCTCAGCAGGTCCACCGACTTGCGCTGGATGCCCTCCCACAGCTGCTCGTGCAGCGACTGCGACTTAGGCAGCGTGTGGCTCTTAGGCCTGGCCCCGCTGCCTGATGAGCCGTTCCCGAGCAGCGTGGGGCTCGGGCTGCCTCGGTCGGCCATGCGGTCTCCGCCACCGCCACCGTTGCCGTGGTGATGGTTCAGGGTCCAGTCCTCCAAGGTCTCGTCGGACCAGGTGCGTCTAAAAAGTTTATGCACTGAGGGCAGGGCCCACTTGGCCTGAGGGACACGACACAACAGACGCCGTTTTTGCCTTTAGCTTTTCTCTTTCAAGGTCATATTTCTCTTCACTGATTTTTTTTATTACAATTTTTTAATATCTTTATACTTCCAAAACAAAACGTTTATTTCATCCCCCCACTCAGAATAAAAAAACCCAGGATTTACTTCTCGCATTATCGTTCTCAGGGTCATACGTCTTTATTCTCAACTTCAATTCATTTTTGGGAACTTTAACCCTCAAAACTAAAATGATTGCAAATAACACATTTACTTTAAAAAAATAACAGAACTCAACGTTCCTTTCTTTTTAAGTAAGCGAAAACAGGAAAAAGAAGGCCACATAAAATCCCCCATGGCTTAGAAGGACAAAGCGAACATTAAAAAGTTGGTGGAATTAGTAGACCATGAGTTTTATTCGAGTGTACAAATAATTTCAGAGAATGTCGAGAGACTTGGTCATAGAGGATTCAAATTCTTGCCACTTTGCTTTTTCTCCCCCCAGTCCTTTTCATTAAAAAAAAAAAAAAAGCCCTATCGGTTGAAAATACAGCATTCTTTCACCTAAATGATCAAACTTGACTCCCTTATATCACAATACAAAACTTTCACAAATTATTACTAGTATTTCTTCCAGAATCCCCAAGCAAGAGTGACCATCACAACTTCACACCCATTTATCTGATTGATTAAAAAAAGAATAAATCAATCTTTTATTTTTTATTTTAAGTTAATTCATTTTTCGTTTGTTTCAGTAATATTGGTGGGATTAAAAGCAAAAGCTGTGAGTAAGTTAAATCCTTAAATATGAACACAAGTATGATACTTTCCCCTCATAGGCAGATATATAAGTAGTGTGAGTCTGAGAGATTGGTACACAGATACATACAAGATAGAGAGATGGAAAAATAACTAGAAGGTACAAAGAGTAGAGTACACGATAGACAGATCATTTTGTTTTATGGTATCTACAGCATGAATGCAACAGCACGTGGGGTTCTACTTTCAGTGCTGGACAAAACTAAAAAGCAGTTTGCAGGTAAAGTCTGTTAAGCAGGTCAGTAAAAACATCTGTTGGAAAACCAACTAAGAAGCAACAGACGAAAATAAAAGGAATTACTGCAAAAGCCAGTCACATGGAGGGAGAGTAGAAGGAGACAAGCTGTGAGGAGTTGGGGAAGGTAGAACAGCTCCCAAACCTTCTACTAAAATCATGACTGTACCACAGGTATGAAAGGGTCAAGTTGATGCCATGTTACAAAACTGACCAGGTGAGAAATTCTGTGTTGAACCGTGAGAACTACAGAGAGTGAAACACACCGAACTGAGGATCAACCATCCACCGATAGAGAGGCTCAACAAACATTTAATATCTGGCAAAACCGAAGGTGAAAACTTCAAAGGGGCCAATCAGACACACAAACACACATTAAGACACACACACACAAATACAAACGCACACACAAAACAATCCACAAAAACACAGTCAGAATGAGTAACATGCCTGTTCAATCATGCCTCATGCCCAAAAAGAAGAAGATGTTAAGGAAGGAAACAGTCATTTAGACCACACAGTAAATCCACCTGGCAAAAATCACCAGCCCACACTCCAGAGTTTCTACCTACAAGGATGATGTCAAGCTGCTATCATCTTTTAACCCTTTGAACCTTGCCTACTGATTGAATTTGAATTAGCAATATGCTACTTCATGAGCACCTGCAGACCCTGATTCCCTGTTTTGTCCTTTACGATGGAATCATGCTTGAGAAGCCCAAGGGATATGTTATTGTCAAAATCAGGAGGCCAGGGTTCAAAGGTTAAACACCAGACATGCAGATCATAGATCATTGCACTGAATACAGGCTAACTAATTAATAGAGCAGCCACAATCATACAATCCTCAACCAAAGAGTAACATAGTGACATTTAAACCAACACGCCAATACAGAAGCATACACAACAGCCTCATTCCATCTGCATGTCAAAGGGAAGTAAAAATATGAAATATTCCAGAATGTTCATTTGTTGACTGAGGCTCAGCTGACCTGTACTTTTATTTACTGATATGCAAATTAGTCCTTAAATAATCAGTAACTGGGAAAATATTATCAGACAGCAAAATCTGAGACAGGGAGGGGAAGTTGATGGGCAAAGAAAAAGAAAGGAGATTATAGCACAAGCTACGTCATCGTATCCAAAGCAACTGAGCTGTTGGTGGGTGACGTTCTCTGTAAGTTCTTTCGATATCAATCTTATTTCGTCCCAAACTGATCAGGACAAGGGTAAATCTGAAAGGAAGGGAATTGCTGGGAGGGTAAACTGCATCAGAACACCCAACAAAGATCTTTCCAGGGCAATGTCAGCTTCTCTTCTGCAATGAACTAACACAACCACTCTCATTCAATAACACAAATAAGAACACAGAGTTAAAAAAGAGACAAGGTATACCACCCCAGACTGTCTCTCACACTCCTCCAGTGACGTAAAATAGAGACCACTGCCTTGTTGTACCAAAAGCAAGTCGGCATGACAATCCCTGCATTACACCACAAACAGATAATGATACAGTAACGCTGAAAAGTATATGAAGCAGTCCAACCCAGAATGCCCTCCGACAAGCACCATAACACACACATAACCTCACAAGTTCTCCGACATACCAAGCAGAATAAGTGCAAACCATGAAAAATTAAGGAACAGTTCCACAAAAACATTTAAAGAACAGACACAGAAAAGTGTACAGCCGACATAGTGATCCACAACCACCTCTTCAACTTCATCCTATCAAAACTGGGAAACTTATTCACTCTACTGCTCACAAGAGAATTTTACATACAGGAAATTTTATAGTCCTTGAATAAAAGGTGACTCTGTTAGCTTTAAATCATTCATGTAACATTCTAACCCTTTTCCTCATGTGTCAGCTATCAGCCAAGACAATAAGACACTGGGATTAGTTCACAGTAAACCAGCACATATCCACCCCCAGGGGGAACAACAAAAGTGGAACCAACCAATCGACATGACCAAAGTCTGAGTGAGGAGAAAAGTGCACATACAAAACCAGTGAACGATGGAATTTACAAAAAGTATTGATGGTTAAAATCAACAAGCATCTATTAATCAATACAGCAAAAAAATCCTGCATCTAACCTAACCCAATGAGAGGAAAACACTACATACAAGTAAACAAGTTGTGATAGATATTGAAGGGAAAAGATGCAGAAGGTATAAAACATTTTCTCCAATTTTATAAGCATTTTGGTAAAGATAACTCGCTTTCTAATTTCTCTAGTTTAGTTTTAGTAGAGGTTTTACGGCACTTGCAACTGCATAAGGTCATATGAGCGCCAGAAGATTAGAGGTGTTACAAGAGAGTAACAAACATAAAAAAGAAGAAGGGGAGATAAGGACGATAGATGTTTGATAGGAAAGAAGGAGCAAACCACACCAGAGCACCCGTCAACCACCCACTTTCTAATTTCTCTGGCAAATCTTGGCAGTTTTGAAAAAAAAAGTAAATCCTCCACAAAAACAAAACACTTCTGAAACACAAAATGTAAAAAAAAGCAGATAGTCCCCAAAATGTCAGAAAAGTTTCAACTGAGAACACATCTAAAGAGCTTCACACAAGAACCATTGCACAAGCATAGCAGACTCAGGGATTCAGAGGCCAGTGAGAGTGTGTTAAAAAAAAAACCTTCATACACGTCAACACACACAACTAGTGCTTAGAAAGTAGACACACATTAAACAATATTTCAGTTTTCACTCCACACTTTCAATATCGTAACTTTTTTTTTCTCCAGTTTTCAAAGCCCATGTAAGAGCCAACAGATTAAACATCAATGCTTTAATTACTTGAATAAAAAAACTTCAAGATGAAAACTCATTTCCTTACAGAAGAACACCTAAAAACCTAGCCTAGTAGCCCCCTCCCACAACTTTTCTTCAGCTATCCTGAGGCAATGATTTTCTTCAAACTTTATCGGAGTGTATGCAAAAGAACAAATTGCCAGGTCTTCATTCAAAGTTGATGCCAAATGTCACAAGTCACAGCCCATTAGTAGACCAATTACTCTGTCACAAACGTTTTTGTCCTTGAGTTATAGAAGCGAAAAACATCCAAAAATTTAATTTCCAATTGATAAAAAAAAGTTAACAGAAAAAAAAAAACAGGCTGAAAAAGGAAAAGACGCATATTTCCCTGTACCAACATGTGACCACAAATGGTAAAAATATTGCCCACAACATGCTAGACTATGAAGTGAAGTACCCTTAGAGCCTCTGAAATCCCAGTTTTCTGTGTTCTCCAACCAAACCTAACAAATTTTTTGCACTAATAATTCTCAGAATCAAAGTCTAACAGAAAAAAATAACTCTTTTCTATGTACAGTGACACTTAATTCATCTACAAAAATTCTCATAAAGAAACAGATTTCAAGGGAAACAAAAGAAAAGAAATTATGCCATCACGGAAAACTTGCATGATTTTAGAAGATGTGTACAGTACAATTTGCTTCCCAAAATAAAAAGGAAACTGATCCCAGACCAGTTAACCAGCAGGGTTTGTTTGCTCTGTGGGCATCCACAAGCCAGTAAAAAAACATCTATTAATATTTGAGGTATGAAACGAAAAATCATAAATGGCTCCACAGCGACTAGGTTGCAGGATCCACCTGATAGGCATCTGCACAACTGATGCCATTATCAGATAAACAGTCTATGATAGGTATGGGGGAAAAGAAAGGAGCTGGTATGTAACTCAAAAAACATGTGTAGCAAAGCTCAACAGGTGCCCCAAGCCAACTACTATCTGCAAACCGCAACGCAATACAAAATCCTTCGGGTGATTCCTCAAAGCTGGTAATCTTACAATTCATGATTTATGTCAAGGAATACACTCATCTCTCAAGAGTATCAAATCCTGACTTATGTTATACATTAGTTTTACTCAGTCATATGCCGAAATACCTATTCAGACTTCATGATCATATCTCTTCCACACACAGAGGCAAGATGACTTTCTCATCACAAACTAATTGTTGCTCATGTTGTTGTACATAACATACACCTTCTCTTATAAAAACATTTGTGAAACATCAAGATTTAAAAACAAGAAAAACTGTGTCAATTGAACTTGAACATCTATTAGTACATGAGTTGAGTGCATAAAACTTCTCTAACAAAGATCAAAAGTGCTGACAGCAGAAGACAAAAACTGTATTACAATGTCGGTAAAATAGAAATATCCATGGCATGACAGTGCAGAAAAGATAACACACTGTCCTAAAAAGTAACATTTTAAGTAAGACCAACACTAATTTTGGACTACAAAGTTCAAATGTGAGAGTTAATTGAAGTGGAAGATCTACAGTGCAGTTAAGGGGGGGAAGTAACATTTGATTATTGAATACACAACAAGTTAGAATCAGAATACACACAAATATATTATTATATTATTACGATACAAGTGCGTAAAAATACGTACATCATGCTGAGGATGTACAGACAAAGCATTCAATGAGTCAAAACGTAAGACGATACACCCAAATAAACAAAAATAATCATTAAAAAAACAAAAGAACTACATCACAAGCAGGCTTTTCCAAAACAAAAAAGGTAATGCAATGCAGACCAGTCTCAATGCAAGTCACCGTGCACCATGCGCAAAATATTAAAACTGTCACCAGCAAAGTTGCTAAATCATCAACCTCTGTCCCAGTCCTCGTTAACATAAACTTTGTGCTCTATGCTGAATTGAAAATGTGCCTCTCTCTCAGAACTGTACTTATAAATACTTTTCATTTGAAAGTTGAAATAATACATAAAATTAAAAGCAAAAATCTAGAGATGTTTGAAATGAAATTTTGACAACAACTCATACAATTTCTTTTTAATCCAGACATTTGATTTAGCCTTTGCAATTTTACGGAAATTCAAAAATATATCTTCTGCCTCCACCAAAACAGCCAGAGCATAAACTTCTCATGGTAACAATATACAAGCAAGGATTATGACCGAAGGGCCAGATTTCAGTCAAGTATGTTATTCTATACACAATTCCAGTAGGTACAGATCCTCCCAATAATATGGTTGGTTATGGCTCGGGAGAGTGTTCACATTTTACACACACACACACAGTATGTTGTGCTTTCTTATTGTTGCGTTTAACGACACACCTAAATACTGGAACACGGTTCACAGACACACAGCTCACACACATACTTCTACTCACCCGGTACTCAAAGTTGGAGACGGCCAGGTACAAGACCTCCAGCAGGCTGGCCAGTCGAGTGATTGGCAGCTCCGACCACCAGTTTCTCAACAGTGACTGCTTTGAGTTCTTCAGCACCCACAGGAAGCATGCTAGGAGGCTGCGCGTCAACTCCAAACTAAGTGGCGTTTTGCGGTTCTAAGAGAAAAATGAAGACATAAAGAAAAAAATCGGGATGTGTTCTGGAGTAGGTCAACAGGACTTGTCAGTGTAAAGAGTAAACTGTTTGCTTCTGATACTAAAACTTCTGGTTAATTCCAAGTTAACGCAGATACATTTTGGGAGGGGGAGGGAGGATGTCAATCCCTCAAATTTTACACACATCTGACCACAGGGTAGAAGGGAATGGATACAGATGAAAATCGCATTATAACTTCACATCTCAGTTAACCGAACAATTCATTCCATATAATTAATTCAATCTTCTGAGGATGTATGGCTTCGGCGTGTATGAGCAAATCACTGTCATACCCTCATTCCACTGATGTAGGTGTTGTCATTAGTAAATAAACGTGACAGAATCAGTACTTCAATGACAAATGAGTATGAAATCATGGACTTACAGAGGTGAAGTGACCTTGTAACAACAGAATGTCTGTCAATCAACCAACAAAGTGCATAACTATTTTATAGTACCCGTATCAAGAATTTAAATCATATTTCTTCAGTCTCAGTGAATCTGTAAGGACTAATGGTCAAAATGTTCTTTTCTAGAAAATTTCAGAAAACCTAATCAAATGAGATAAAGAGGACAAAAAGTAATCCACAACCCCCAAAACCACCCTTTCAAGACAACCAATACTGCAACTAAATATGTCAACTAGTCTTCACAATACTTTAAAAACTTTTTGTTCACTCATAATCCCCATCACAATCAAACAAGAAGAAGATTCAAATAATCCTCCGAGCCTGAACTAATACATTTCACTAACAGCTTGTAAATGTTTAAACGGCCACCGTCACATTGTTGATCAGTCCGAGGCAGCTACCTACCTTACTACCGTCCCCAGCTTCCTCATAAGACTGTAAGCTGGCCGCACTTGAGCCCGAATGGTGTATCCGATGCACCACGTTGGGTCCAGCAATCGCCATGGCTATCCGCTGGTTGATCTTGTCCCCCTCCTCATCCACGCCCAGAGCCCCACCCAGCCCACGCAGCTTATGGCTGTCCAGAGCAGGATCGTGCAGCTGCGGCAAGGCGTCAATCACAATTCCTATAAGAGGCAGGTAGAGCGCAGCCAGCCGGGACTTGACCTCGGGGTCAGTGTAGCGCACATCCAGGTCATGGTTGTAGAGGATGTTGCGAAGGACGCTGATGGCACGCAGGTGAATGGCTGGATTCCTGGGGGGGGGGGGGACATCATCATTGAGCATTGAATAAGACATATTCGTTGGCCAACAGCAGTAGAATTTTAAAGTACAGCTCACATAAGTTAAGTCCATATTATGCAAAACAGGAGCAATTGCAGTCTGTGCAGTCACTCAAATTTATCTCAGATAAACAGTCATTCCTGAAGAGTCAGGAGCCCAGGAGAGCGGGCGGGGGCAGAAAAAGGAGATGAAAGCAGACAGTAGAACATGGTTACAAAACAGGAAAGGAGGTGAAAGGAGAACATTTTACAGACTTAGTTTTAGTAAGGTTTTAAGGCGCCCGCAACAGCATATGGTCATATAAGCGTCCAAGGGTGAATGTCAACAGAGAAGTCCAAACAGGGAATCAGCCTTGCTCCACTCACCTCTCTAGCCTCAGCAGCACAAAGTCTGCTTCCACTATCAAGGCACCCTGGAGATAGCAGTTCACAAGAGAGTGACAACCATAAAAAAGAAGTAGAGGAAAAATGACGATAGCAAAGATGAGGAAAGAAAAAGCAGCAGCTCCCCTTATGTTGTTCCGGCGCAGTATGAGCACGACAATGATAAATCAGTCCATTTACAAACCTACTGTGCATAAGAACATGTTAATATTCCCCCATTTGGGAATGGCCTAAAGACATTTCAGTCAGTAGCACTGCCCTTAGGGGGGGGGTTTAGAGAAGAAAATTTTCACAGTCACTGTCAGGTTTCAAACCTGGGACGTATTGAATGAGAGGCGAACACCGTACTTCTAGACCATGACGGCCCCTCTATCCTGCTGTGTTCCCAACATTTTGTCGAAAAGGGAAAAAGAGATAATCAAGATAAAAAAAGGCAGAAAGATACGGCAACACCAAGGCAGCGCTCATATGACTTTATCAGTTGCGAGCGCCGTAAAACCCTATACTACATACATACAAACATCTGCCCATGTGAGTACATTTCAAATATAAAAAGATAATAAAACATCAAATACCGAGTAATAGAAATTTTAAACAGACTTACAGCCAGACCTGTCATTTCTATGGGCTGAAGAAGGCTTGAGGAAGAGTTTTCGTCTGAACAACAAGAGCAATGTTCTTGTGTTGGGGGCTTTTTTACTTTGAAAAAAAAATAAAAATTTCAGAGAACAGCAAGTGACTTACGTCGCCTCAAAGGAGATGGCCAAATCGGAAAGCACAAGCCCCACCAAGTAGTGCTGGCTGCGGAACTGTGGGGTCAGGTTGTAGAACATGACTCGACTGCGGTCCACCAGGGTGGTGCTGGACGTGACGGAACTGCGCGAGCTGATGCTGCTGGTCGGAGAGTGAAGCCCGCTGGGGGTCAAGGGCGTGCCGAAGGGCAAGTTCAAGGGCAGGAAGTGCTCGTGGCTGCACACGATACGCAGGAAGTCCAGCCGCAGCAGCATTAGGCTAGTGGGATCTGACATCTGTTTTATATTTGAAGACAGCTGTGTAGGGAATACAATTTTGGGACATTTTAAAGTTCAAACCCAGTAGAAACTAATTACAATCATATTTAGAGTAGAAAGTAATTACAATTAAATTTGGAGTAGAAAGTAATGACCAAATAATCAAATTTGGAGAAAAAAACTAGTCACAATCATATCTTTTTTTTTGGGGGGGGGGGGGGGGGGGTAAGTGTTTTACGGTGCTCGCAACTGCATAAGGTCATATCAGCGTGCGGGACACACCTAATACTTTTAGTTGGTAGGAAATTTTGAATTTAGCCCAGGTGGCGGCCGAGGCCTACTCTTATCAATTTTAGACCACCAAGGGATCTTTAACGTGTGCAACTTGCACACGGGCCCTCTGAGATTTTTCGCCCTTGTCCAAGAAGGCTAGGTGCAGATCTTTCTTACCAGAAGATCAGGGGTGTGGCAGCAGTAAGAAGGAGTCAAGGAGTAGCAGTAGATAGGCTGCAGAAAGAATCAGGAGCCCAGAGGAGGGGCCAAAGGAGGTGACGGGGTGGGGGCAGAAAGAGGAGACGAAAGCAGACGACAGAATATTGCTAGAGAGCAGGAAAGGAGGTGAACGGAGACAATCTTAGAGAAGAAAATTTTTCGGTCGCTACCCGGATTCGAACCCGGGACCTTTGAATGAGAGGCCAACACCTCAACCTCTATCCCAAGAGAGCCCTCAATCATATCTGTTGGAGCAGAGCTACAGTCCTTTCATAAGCTGCTTATTTATTCCATCCAAAGCCCCACATAACGGTACCTAGAAATCCTTTTTTTTTTAAAACATGGATCAGAATGGATTAGAAAATCAAACTGCTTTGCACTACTATAGCAAACGGAAAGAGAGTTCTGAGGTATTTTCAAAGCAGTTCTATTATAGCAACAAGTATTGGTCTCAGCATTCAGGGTTAAGCTTTCACGGTGCTGTAAAGAGTTAAAAGATCTGACAGTCTATAAAGAAAATTTTGAGCATGGACTGTGAGCATTTTGGCCACATCAACACAGAAGATAACAAATGTGGAAAACAGAAGGAAGAGCAGGGTTCAAATCTAAGTTGGGGCACAGATTTCTCATCTTTCCAAGGAAAATTTTTCCAAACAGCAAAAACGAGCAACACTGAGTATAAAAAATTGCATAAGACCTTTTTTGTTGTAAATTTGGAGCTTGATCACTGATGAATGAAAAGTGGAAAGTTGAAGGAGGTACTCACTTTGCGACAGTACTGGCGGATCAGCTGGAACACAAAGCCACGGTCCATCAGGGACATGAGGTCGTGTAAGAAAAAAGCCAGGCTGGTGTTCAGGCCTTTGATGAGAGGGGGCTCCTGTTGGGGCAAGAAAGCACAGCATTTACAAATTGAAGAAAAAAAAAAATCAGACAAAATTTCTACAAGGGGAACCTTCAAAACAAAATTGACACATCCTCCTCTATCATTTCAAATAACTGCCTGGATCGATAACAACAACAACGCCTGGACCGATAACAACAACAACAACACCTGGATCGATAACAACAACAACACCTGGATTGATAACAACAACAACAACACCTGGATCGATAACAACAACAACAACACCTGGATTGATAACAACAAATAACTGCTTGTTGCTTTCATGAAATCTTTTAAACACACTGACTGACTGACAAGATGAAAATAAAAATATTGCTCAGACAGGATTACTACATGGAGAACCTTCAAAACGAAACTGAAACATCCTTTTCTATTATTTTATATACTTGTTTGCCGCTTTCATGAAATTTTTTTAACACACTGACTGACTGAACAAGAACTCAGAAGGATGTGACTTTTTTTTTTTAGTAGAGGTTTTACAGCCCTGGCAACTGCATAACCATAGCTCTAGCAGAACAAAATCCCTGATTGATAAAAAGACGGTAACTCAAGATGTAACTGAATGAATTGGTTTTTAAAATCTGCCAGTAAGGACTGTGTTCACAAAATTACACTCGATCACAACTCAAAAAGCTGATCAATCGTAAATCATTGTGATTTCAAGAAAATCGTACTTTATCTCAATAAAAATAATCTGATTCCCATTTCTTCAATAGTCAAAATATCACTGGAACTGAATGTAACTTTCCCATCACCACCATATGTTTTTGAGAAAAATATGCACACTGTAATAAAAAAAATAATTAGCAACAATATAGGACAAAAGATTCAGGTTCTCAATGTGAGGAAACAGCGCAGCAGAACACACAAAGTTGGAAAATGTGGTTCTTATTCTCCTGTGTATGAATTCTTGTTTCTTTGACATGTCCAGGTCTTTTCCACCTAAAAGTCTCACACCGGGTCACTGTCTACTGAAGAACCCACTGTGAATTTGCTCCTGACACTCACCTTAATGAATCTGTCCGCTATTTCTTTGATGATCATGGACACCAGAGAGCTGACATCATCAATAAAGTGGTCCAAAAACCTCATCTGTCGAGGGGCACATAACTTGTCCACTTGGTCCAAATGTTCCGCCATAGATTTGATCTGACCAGAGAATAAGACCACATAATTCAGCTTTCCAAAGAGAAATACAGTCGAACCAGATCGGAAAACCACCTGTCCCAAGACAAGCACCTGTGAAAACAATCACTTCTCATCTCCCCCCTTGTGTTTTTATACAACATAATGACGCAGTCTAAGAGGACCATCTCTTTAATACTATCAGAACATATGACAAAACCTGAGAAAATAACAAAAAGTCAACTGTTGGAAATGTTGTAACTTTAGTTCAATCGAGGTGTCCGACCTGTCACTCTCACTCTCAGCCTCGCGGTTGGGCCCTAGATCTAAATTCTAGATTTTCTCTGTCTGATCAATCTGAATCGCCCCAAACTCTTGCTACAACGTTTTCATCAAAATCTGAGCCATCTGATTTGTCATATGCTTGTTTTTGCTCAAATCCATCGCTATTTCCGTTTTCGAACTCAATTGAGTCGCTTTTCAACAAGTCGAGACACTTTCGAAGTGTTGGTAACGCGATCGCACTTCGATCAGCTCTTATACTAAAACTACTGGCCCGAAAAATTTCGTTTCGGTATCAAACAAAAAAAGAAACTTTTTGCTATACTATGCAAATCAAAATCCCGACCCCAGAGTCTTGTCAAGGCGAGACTTCGTTTCTAAAGACGCTAGGTCGGCGCAGGCAGTTTCGGGCGAGTCAGGGTGGAGCGCGTAAGGGAATTTGCGGGCGATAGCGGGCGAGTTAGGGTGTAATGTGTTAATACATGTTTTTCTGTAAAATCCACACAAAATGTGTTTTTAAACAATTCCTTTGATTTCATTATTTTGACGAGCCCCTGATTTCACCACGATGCCTCAAATATAGCTTCTGGCACAGTTTTTTATCTGTCTGTAGTGCAGCAGTCAGGCTCTTCTCTGTCAGAGGACTTGGGTTCGATTTCCATGTGAGGAGGATTTATTATTTTCCGTCTCACTGTTGAGATGTTGTATCCCTCTCAGCCCCAGGTTGGCCCTGATCGGAAGCAGCCCGCCTCGTAAACTATCCAATGGTGTCGAGTTAGGTGTGAAACATTTACAATTTTCTTTTTTTTAAAATTCAACAATTTTTAATGAATGTAATTTAAAAAAGAGAACGTGACTTACCATTAGCTCTAAAAAGAACCAGACATTGGGGAGAGCAACCTCTCGCGTTGTGTCGCTGGAGACCACCCACTGTAAGGCCAGTTCTTCGTGTACCAACTGGGGAATTTCAAACCCAATAGAAAAGGTCAGAAAAGATGTCTACTGAATTAATTTGCCAGTATGACGAATTGAGAGTAGAGAATAAAAAAAAACTATCTGCATAACATCACAGCTGTAGATGGAACCTTTTGACTCTAACACTCTTAATATAGTGTAAAGCGCATAGAGCCTGCTGTTGAGCGAGGATATGCGCTATACAAATGCTATCTATTATTATTATTAACGCAACTCGTCCTTTCACTACATTAGCTTGGTGTATGAGGTAGAGGCTGCTGGTTGAGGAAAAAACAGAGAAAGGAGTTATGGGCTCGGGTCTTAGCTCTTTATCTCCGAGGGGGGCAAACCCACTACGCCGGGGCCCTTTTTTGGTACTAAATCTAAAAATGACAAAAACGTCACTAAATGGGTCATTAAATCGAAACAAGCGAACCTTTTATGATAGTACTTCATCTAATGAATGAACTTCCGGTAAAAGAGACCGGTTTTCAGCAACTGGCGAAAAGTAATTTGATGTCGAAGTCGTAAAGGAATGTGCCCGAGCCGCTGACCAGCGGCTCACCGGCACAGCAGTTAAGACTGCGAGCCGCTGGGAGCGGCTTGTCGGAGAGTTTACTATCTGTAGAGAGTTTGGTCAACTCTACATTAATATAATATAGTGTAAAGCGCATAGAGCCTGCTGTTGAGCGGGGATATGCGCTATACAAATGCTATCTATAATTATTATTACACCATGCAGTACTTTGCCCTTCAGCAATATCAACAATAAATTACCTTCCTCTTCCTCTGCAAAATCCTGCCCACAAGAGTCCACTTTTTTCTCCTACTCTGAGGAAAATCTACCCCCCCCCCCCCACTTCCCTTTACCAATAAAATTCCTCTTTTCTCCTCCTTGCATTCACCTTTTTCCCTCGAATTTTTGGGACATTCTGAGGATCCTCTCCCTTCATGCTGCCTGTGCGGTCAAGCTGTCGACCGGAGAACGTTGAGAACTCAAAATCTGGAGATGTGGGCGTGCTACCAGCTAGGTCTGGATTGCTGGAGCTGCGGTGGTAGTTGGCTTTCGCCACCGGCAAAGATGAGGGTCGGCCCAGTGTGGCATAACCTTGGCCATGTGGGCTACCCAGGTTGGGTGAGGAACCTGCGAATGAATGAAACCACCACCATATGATAAAACCCAGAATGACAATGGTGAAGTAAACAGGGATGGCAACAGGACATCCATTTTAGTCTTTTCTGTTAAAGGGACAAAGATGTGGACAGTGAACCTCTGAAATTGTCGACATGGTTTATCAAAGTTCATACTCTGTACAATAACAGCTACATTTCACCAGAAACAGGTTAAGAAAATGGCAAGACATTGTAAAAGTAGGAAAAGATGACACTGAAATACATTATCCCCCCCCCCCCAATTTCTGGGCCAAGCCTTAGCTAATGCCTAGGTGACATTTTTACAGAAAGTTCCCCTGTTTAAAAAGTCAGCCATTTTCAAAAGGACATGAGCTTTATTTAATTATTTATATGACACGAGAGTACATTCTCGTACTTAAATTATTATTCCATTTTAACAGGAAGCCAAAGAAGTCGTTTTATTTCCATGTTTCTCTTTGTCAACACTTTCTAAATGAGCCTTGGTCAAAAGTATAGTACTTTTAATAGTAATTAATATCTTCTTGAATGATAGCATGAAACTGAATTGCAATAATAAACCAGATCAAAAGGGAAGTGATCTCGCTTCAGCAGTAAACCAAAGTAATTCATTGTATAAACATTTATTGTTTTAGGGTTATTTCAAAGAGTTCCTCTTGATAAATACAGAACTTCTCCCTGAACTGAAATCAGGTGTTTAGAAGGCCACTGGCAGGTCCTTTTCCTGTTCATTCCTTCTGTTGTTTCTGTGTATTTTCTACCTCACTTTTTAGCGGCACAAAACGACAGACACTGCATCAACGTGCTTCAAACCCACCTTGATGGTGTAGACCCAGACAGGGTATACTGAAGGAATACTGGATGTATGCAGCCAGCAGAGCGTTGCGTCCGTTGAGGTCATTCTTGTCCTCCAGTAGCTCGTGTACCCGCAGCACAACATGGGAGATGGCCTCAAATGTTGCTTGGCCTACGTTCACTGCAAACACATATAGAGGAACTTATTATTAAACTTACTGGGTAACTCCACTGAGTGTTAAAATATCAGGAGTCTACAAACTTAACCTCTTCCTCTCCAAAATTTTCACAATTGAAAAAAATTATTGCTATATGCTCAGACTTTTTTATACTGTCTGACAGAAAATGTTGTTCCCTGCATTTTGATATATATAATAAAATTCTTGTTCCTTGCATTTTTATACATAATTTATTTGACGTTCTCTCAAAAACATAGAAAAACATGTTGGGTTTTTTTTTTCAAATTCGAGGGTAATTCCAGGGGCCCCCGGGATTCCCGGAGCCTGGCAGTCACCCTGTACACGTGTTCCTGTCCGATCTGGCAAAATTTAAGGAGTTTTCAAGGAGATTTTTCCTTGAATGCAAATTCAAGCAGTTTTCAAGGACTCCTTGAATTCAAGGAGGCCGCGGGAACCCTGTGTAAGGACAAGACAAAACTGACACACAGAAACTACAGAAAACTCAGTTTCTGAACAACAGGAGGAAAGATGTCCAAAATGTGAAATCTACTGCAGAGCTAAGAGCCCAAGTCCACAAATCAAACAAAGTGCAAAAAGTGTGGGAAAGCACTTACATGTGAGGCAG